CTCATGTCTACACCCACCAGTTTTCCCACTCACAGCCTTCCTCACTTTCCCCTGGAGTTCCTAGTCCTTGCAGAACATCGTCACCACTGTCCCTTTCACCTACACACACCTATAAATTGGCATAGATGACATTGAATATATGACACTATGCATTTGGCAAAACCCAGAGAACTGTACAACTCAAAAAGGAAACTCTCCTGTAAAACTGAGTTAATGATAGTATATTTATATTGCCTCATAATTGTAACAAATGAACCACGCTAATGTGACTTGTTAATAATGGGAGAAACTGTGTATGTGTGGGGGGTAACATGGGAACTATCCATACTTTCTGCTCCAGTTCTCTATAAACCTAAAACTGCTATTAAAATAAAATCTATTACTCAAAAAAAAATCATCAAAGAGTATAAGTAAACAAAAAGAGAAAAAATTATATATGTGGCTCACATTTCTACAGAACCTTGATACTCTACAGTCTCAGAAACAACTTGGAGACATCTCTCCCCTGTGCCCTCACACTCCCCCATCTGACCAGCGCGGCACTCTGAACTATTTGTCCTCAAGAATCTCTGAGGCAACTATTTGAAAAAGTTGATACAGTGAATAAGGAAGATTCTGCATGACAAGATGGGACACACCAAAGAACAAAAGGCGTGCAATTTTGTTTCCCCCATGGCTGGAGGGAGAAAACCTGTGATTTAGGATGACCACAGATCAGGGTGGCTGTCATTCATTGAGCCCTTCCATGAGGCAATCACCGTACCCCATTCATACTTTTCTTGCCTCTGATCTCAACAAGCTTGGCATTGACTAAACATCATCATCACTGTGTGACTGAAGAAGAAACTTGAGCTTTGAGAGGGAAAGTGACCCATCCTACGTTTGCAATTCTGGAGAGAACAGAGCTGAATTCTGCTGACGGGTCCCATGCAACATCCAGGACCAGTCTCCTCATGTGGAGACTCAGTGTTGCTCTGGAAGGCCACTGCTTCCCTATTACGTTCATTTTCCCATGACCCCTAATAATCCCTCGAGCCCTTCTGCTGTCTAGAAAAAGCTCCAAACCTCCCCTCCCAGCCCCACTCACAGCTGACGCCCTTGCTTCATGCTCCGCCATACCACCTCCATGCCTTCTTCTGCCTTCACCTCTGTGACCAGAAAACAAGTACCCCTGCCCAAGACCTGCCCTCTACTGGTCCTCCAAATGCCACCTCCCTCATTTTCTAAAGATCTTTCCTTCTTCACTTACCCCCTCTTTCTCCTGCAGCATCAATATACAGAGTGACATGAGCCAGATACATCCCTCTTAGGATGCAGCCTGTCCCGCTTCCTCCACATCGGTCCTTTCCTGCCCCGCCTGGCCCTGTCTGGTCTGCTAGCCCTGCTGGGAGCCTTCTGTGACCGACCTTCCCCAGCCCACACCCACGTGCTGTCCCTCTCCAAGCGGCTCTGCAGCCCGGCTCTTGTGGGGCCGGCTGTGTCGGTCCTTGGCAGCAGGACGTCATCTCATCCTCGCACCTCCAGCACCCAGCACAGTGCGCGACTTTTCTTCTTAGAGTTTCTGTTCCTGAGATCGGTCCTTTTTCTGCGTCCCAGCACCCCACTTCCATTAGTGATCAGTTAGCAACATGCTTTGTGTTTTTGAGTTGAGCACTTTTCAAGATAAGACTAAGAAGACAGGGGTAAAGCACTATTTAAATGAAAACTCTTGGGTGTTTTGTGGTTGTGTAGACAGAATTCATTACTGAAAGGCATCCCCAGCACTCCCGCCTGCTTCTGCACCTTGAACGTAATACGGATGCAGTGATTCTCAGATTTGTGTTCCCACCAACCTACTGAATGTGCCCTTGTCAAGCTCCTCAGCTCCCAGGCATATGTTTCTCACCTGGAATTTCAACCAGCTGTGGTCCTTGGTCTGAGCAGTTCTAAGTCCTCATCTTCTGAGGAGAGTGACTCTGGTTTTAATGGTCTCAGCACAAGAAATACCAAGAGATGGGGTAGAAATAAGGGAACTAAAATCAATTGGGAAACAGGAAACCAGGACTCCTTGTGACCTCAATGGTCCCAACAATATGCTACCAGTTTTAATAGCATTTGGGAACTTGGCTGGACCTTTTTAGAAACTCAAGTATCTGACTATTTTTCCCAGCCTCAATCCTCTGTGGGACACAGAGGTTCATCCCTCTCCACATCAAGGGTTAATGAATCTGGGTGTCCAAGCCCCTTCTCTCTTCACGTATCAGGGTAGACAGAGGGCAAATACTGAGATGGTAAGAATCAGAGGTAAACAATGAAAGGCAGAGATGAAGATGAGAAAGGTACAAAGAAACACAAAAAAGAGGTGATAGAGGCAGAGAGTTGAAACAGGTGGACAAGACAGAACACTCTTCACCTTCCCAGACTAATCCCATAATTTTATGCTCCTGTGAAAGCTCATTGGTAGACTCCCACCCCAAAGATGTGCTGGTCTTTCTGAAATTTTAGGTGTCATCCAAAGGTGAAAGAATGATATGGGGAAATGTGGAAAGATGGATACAGACACAGAAACAAGGACAGTTATCCCCAGAACATTATTTACAAGGCCTTGTTTCAATTAGTGTGTTACAAGTAATTTACAATTTACAATTAGACTAATAATGGTTTAAACAAAGAAAACATTTATGGCTTAATTTATAAGAATTTTAGAGGTGGGCTGGGTTCTGTCTGAAGAATATCATCAAAAACCGTGTTTAGAGGGCCAAGCCCATGGCACACTCAGGAGAGTGCAGTGCTGGGAACTTAGCAGCGCTCCCGCCGTGGGTTCGGATCCTATATAGGGATGACCGGTGCGCTCCCAGCACTCACTGGCTGAGCGCGGTGCAGCCGGTCTCAAACAGGACAAAAAAAAAAAAAAAAAGAAAGAAAGAAAGAAAGAAAGAAAAAACCATGTTTATTTTAATCCTTCCGTTTATCATCACTAATATGGTGACTTTCTTTCTGGGGATTGCCACCTCATGGCCCCATGGCTTCAAGACAGCTGCTATAGCTCCTGACTTCACACTACAGCATCCCAAGCCAGAGGAGGAGAGATGAGAAACAAAGTCACTTAAGATTTTAAATCATAAGTGGAATATGTTCAGATTTGTACTTTATACAAAATTTTGGGGGGGCGGTCATACATAAAACACACATTTTAGAAGGTTTTTAACGGAGGAAGGATAACAAGTGTGGATGTTACCAAGAGTCACACGGAAGCCAAATTTTTATAAAGTCATTAAAATGAAGAAAATAGCAGAGGACATCATTATGCATAGAGGAGAAGGGTCCGGATGTCGTGAGAAAACAAAAGACAGGGGACACCACAGAGAGTAACTGCTAGGCAAATTTCTAAGTCTTTTGAAGTCTGGCTGTTTTTTCTAAAACTGGGCTTCTTGGGATGCTCTTGCATGTTTCCCTTAAGCCCCTTTTAATAAAACACAAGCAGGTTTTGTCCCTTGCTACCTAGTGGCCTACAATTAACACACTAGGATTTGCAAAAATGGACAGAGGCAAGTATGTGGCCAAAGTGACTAGGATAAAGAAAAGATGGAAAGTCTCAAGATGAACTTTGACTTCTGCGTGGCCCCATTGCCTAATTTGGGTAAAGCCAAAGAGGAAGTGATGTTGGGGTTGTCCTGAGTGGGGGGAATTCCTGCCCGTGTTGCAAAAATCCTCAACACTTCTAGTAGGTGAAATGCCTAAATGAGCCTCTTTAAGCAGCAAAGCCTCTCAGTAAATCACAGGGCCTGAGATCATGAAGCCAGATTGCCTGCGCTAAAATCCCAGGTCTACTGTTGACTGCTTCTATGACTGGACCAGCCATTTAACCTAGGGGTTGGCAAACACTGTCTGTAAAGGGCCAGATAGTAACTATTTTTCTTTTTGTAGGCCATAGGGTCACTAGTACAGCTACTCAGTTCTGCCATCATAGCACAAATACAGCCATAGACAATATGTTGATGGTAAGCATGACTGCTTGCCAATAAATCTTTTTTGAGGACACTGCAATCTGATTTT